AAGAGTTTTCTTTTCCAACGCTAGTTCCTATCTGCCAAAAATTTGTCCTCGCACCCTCAAAGAATCTAGTGTAGCCCAAAGACAACAGAGATACATGGATAACAGCCTCTAAATCAACGGTTTTTACTCATTAAAGCGTTTTAAAAACATTTTCATAATCTTTCAAGAGGTTCTGTACAGAACAGTGCACACATGGAGGAAACCCCATTTTACAATGGTCCAAATGAATCTAGAAGCAACCCTAGTGAGTACCTGCTGTTCCAACAGAGCCACACGTGTCTGTTCCTCCTGCTGCTTTAGCAGGGACGTGTAAAGAAACTGGACCTGTAAAGAGATGTAAAGAGAGCCAGCATTGTCACGTCTGCTCTTTCTGCTACACCCATCATTCTTGGGGAGCTCACATCACAAGTCTCACATTTCTAACAAGGACAACACCTGCTGGGAGGAGGTGAGTCATTCCAGCCAGAGATATATGAAGGCTGATTCTTAGGCTGATGCCCTAATTGTAGTGATAATTTGCTCAAGCTAATTCACATAGCACTTACCCTATCCCCTTCACACCCGCAGCTTTATGCCAATGTGGCTTAGGGGTGATGTTGGAGTTACTAAGGATTATTATACTTGAACAATACTTTGACATAAAGTTATTAAGTTTTGCCTGGCAGCATAGGTAATGGAAAGAACACTATTTGAAGGTAATACCTAGCCCTCTATGATGGTGAGAATTACCTGAGTAACTCCAGGGAGAAACCTGGGGGCTACAACACTCACTCTCCTGGAGGCACTGACAGCTACTCATATTTCCAAGGAGATTAACAAAGCTGTTCGTGCTTCAACTGCTTGGTGGCAGAACTGGAGCAAAATGTCCAATCATTTCTGCTTAAACTTTTTCCAAACATCACAGCTTGTGCCTGCAGGCAGTTGTGGGAGTGGAATGGGCTAAGAAGACAAATGTCACAGGACTACTAATTTTTCCCTCTCTCAACTTTTGAAGCTTTCTCAAGATTACAATTCTAACAGTAACAATAACATTTAGTTCACAAAGGCTTTTTATATTCTCTTAATTGATCCTCACCAAAGCCTATGAGGCAAGAAGAGGTGAATTAGAAATAACTAAAGAACCTATAAAGTGTTTTCTTTCTCCTGAAGTTTATGTAACTAAGTGCTTCAAGGGAGCAGAGTGAAAGGAGGGCTGATAAATAACTTGCATGTGAATCAGAGATGCTGAAGTGCCACTGGCCACATGTCCTGGATTAGAGAACAATTATTGCCTCCAAATCATGTTCTTTCCATTATTTATGCTGCCAAGGAAAACGCAGTAAATCAGAGTCACATTCACATCTAATAACCCTAACTCAGTCACTCCGGCATCACTAAGGCACCTTGGTAAAGCTATGAGTGTAAAGGGGACAAGGAGAAGTGCTGTGTGAATTAGCTTGAGCAGACTATCACCACTCAGGGCACCACTGTAGGAACCAGCCTGATTCGTCTTTTTATATATCACACCTTCTTTTAATTTCTCAGATATTATTTATCTTGCTCCTTTCTCAGAGCCTTTGTGATTCCCTCGGATCAGAACGAAGCCCGCAGATATTCATTCACAGGGCTGGTTCTTTCCTGTCATCAGGGCTGGCTCAAACACCATTACCTGAGGGAAGTCTACATTGATCTCCAATTCCTTTTATCATTTCACATTATTTTTAGTACTTCACTTATTAACTTATTAACTGTTTCTATTCTGGAATATAAACCCCCAATGAGAGAAAGAACTTGGTTTAGTATTCCAAAATATTAAAATGGTCCCTGGCACACAGTAGGTGCTTATTAAAAGTGTCACCCATGAAACTATGAGGATGGTTCTGCTTACCTGAGATAAGAGTTCTTCAGATCTTTTCTTCTCTTTTTCCAGTTTGACCCTCGCAATGTCGTTCTCTTCCTTCAGCTTTTGAATTTTCTCTGTTTTATGCCGATCATCTTCGAGATGCTGTACATCTGTCTGTCTTTGTGAACACAAGAGGTGATTTAACTCTTGAACTTCTTTCTGGGTTTCTTCATATTTTCTTCGGAATTCACTAAGTTCAAAATTTAACTGAGTTACAGTTTGCCGTTCAACCTCAAGATCTTTTTTCGCATTGGCCAAGAGATGGCTGTAATATTTTTGCTTTTCTTCTTGGAGGCAACCTTCTGATTCAGTTCTTTTTTTTCTCCTGTGGGAGTGACTGAGTAGCTGTTTCTAACTGCTGTTCCAACTCGGAGATCCTTGCTAAAAGTCCTCTCACGTAGGCCTCCCGCTGCTGATCATACACAAGCCACTGCTGATTTTTCTCCAGCGCATCTTTCAGCTGAACTTCCATTTCATGAGTATTACTCACAGATGAGCTGAAGCAACTTGTAGCTGAAGCCTGTGGAAACTGATGCATACTGGCTTTGCTTTGAAATTCAGCAAGTCTTGCAGTTGTTGTAGACAAGTGGTTTTTCAATGCATCTGTTTCTTCAGATAAAGATTTCAGCAGCTGCTCCCTCCTTTCGCATTCCTTTGTTTTCTCTTCCAGTTGCTCAAGCAACGCAGCCGAACTGTATCTCACCTTCAGCTGGTCTCTGAGCCTCTGTATCTCTCGGTCTTTCTCTGTGAGGAGATAGGCATTCTTCTCCCTCTCAGCTTCAAGGTGTCGAATTTTCTCTGTAAGTTTGTGTCTGTCTTTATCCACCAGCTTTCCTTTTCCATTTGCGATTTCTTCCACTGATGTTTTCGAAGCTGCAATTTCCTCCTTAAATTTCTCAAAGGCAGTTTCTGATTTGGAGTTACTAGCTTTTGGTTTCCATTTGCTTTTAAAGACATCTTTAGGAATTCTGGAAGACATCTCTGAAATTATCTAAAGTTGAACAGACGAGGAGAAATGAAGGTCGTGAGGCGCCCACCGGGTGTCGGGCATGAAGCAGGCGCTCGGGAGAAGAAGGCAGGTATCAGCGAGCTCAGGGTTCTAGCCGAAGCGGAAGCGACGTTCCCTCCAACTGCAGCTCCTCGCAGTCCCGCCGACTCCAAGACTGAGGTCTTGAAACCAGCCCGCAGCCAAGGTGGAGGGCCACTCCCGCGTCTCCCCCGCGTCGCTCTCTATAACCTGCATTTGTGTCTCTTATAAAATGTATTTGGAATGAATAAGTCATTGATTGTACAAAATTCAATCATTGTATCTCCAGCTTCATTCCTGTCACCAAGACCATGTTTTCCAACTACTGATTCTTCTTCTCTGTTCCCAACTTTTGCATTCCAGTCACCCATTATTATCAATGCATCTTGATTGCATGTTCCGATTGTAATATCTCCGACTGTACAAGTTGGTAGAAATCATCTATTTCTTCTTTGGCTCTGGTTGTTGGTGCATATATCTGAATGATAGTAGTATTCACTGGACTTCCTTGTAAGCGTATGGATATAATCCTGTCACTCACGATGTTGTACTTCAAGATGGATCTAGAAATTACTTTTTTTTACTATGAAGGCAACCCCATTTTTCCTTGTCTTTTCATCTCCAGAGTAATATATCATATGGTCATCTGACTCAAAATGCCCCATGCCAGTCCATCTCATCTCTCCAATGCCTAATATGTCAATATTTATGCGTTCCATTTCTTTCTTAACAATTTCTAATTTTCCTACATTCATGGCTCTCACATTCCATGTTCCAATCACTGGAGTCTGCTTACAACTGTTCCTCCTCCTTTGTATTTCCATACTTGAAAGTTCTACCTAGGTTGCCCTGTTAGTCTGTGTGTGTTCTGTTGTGCATAGGGTTTTCAGAGGCCTGCTATTTCAGAAGTGGGTGGCCAATCCTTCTTCCTAGTCTGTCTTAATCTGAATGTTCAGATTTAAGAGGAGTATCTGACAGACAAGCAATTTGTGGAGTAGTGAAAGATAAATCCCTCATTGTGGAGTTAAGCATTAGTTACAGTGCCTTGACCCACTTACTTCCCAGCTCCACCCTCCACCAGGATAACCCTTCACATCTGCCAATGTTTTAAAATTTAACATGTTTTAAAAGTTAACAATGCATTTTAAAGGTTTTTATAATCTCCCGGTGCTGTAACAGAAGGAAGCGTCAATAGCCAAAGACTCTATCATTGCATAGGATGAAAGTAATAACTTTATCAACCACTTATAACTCCGCCTACGGGCACTAGATAGTGGCTGTTCTTCCCATTTCCCTACGTCTTGCCAGGCGCTTAGATTGGATCTCGCCAGTGCGATTTCAAGCCGACTGTGGGCCACGCGTAGCTTGCCCACTTCCTCCTATAATCAGCGAAAACAACAGTACACAACGCCCGCCCCTCGAAGATCCCAGGTGCGCATGCGCATGCGGTGGAGCGAGGCGGAAGAAGGCGTGGCGAGATGAGGACGAGCGGCGATTGGACAATAGGAGAGCCACGCCCGTCACGTAAAGGACGTTGCGCATGCGCCAAACGCTGTTTTCTTGTATTTTAGACTGCGTTTGGGTGTTCTCCTTAGTTTCCGTCAGGACATCGGAGGTGAAGGGTTAGATTTTCGGTCTGTCCAGTACATTAGAAGAAACCTCTCGTCCTAAATTTGGAAAGGAAGGGTTTCGCTGCCCTTTTTAGCCATCTTAAGTGAGGTTTCGACAGGCAGTGGTGAGTTTTTGGTGGTGGGTTCGGGTCTTTATAAGTGTAGGTGTCAGGCAGAGGGCTCGGCAATACGTAGCGCAAGTGGAACCCGTTGCGGGAGCGAATGGGAACTGTTTGAGTCGGGTTCGTGTAACGGCAGCCGCTTTCGGGGTTTGGGGGCTCATTTGTTTTCCCCGACCTTCCGCGCCTGCGCGGGCCTTGGGGCGCGCCGGGCGGGGCCGCTTCCGGGGGCGGTATCTAAGCGGGGAGCCGATACCTGTTTTCGGACCTTGACCTTTGTTTTCCTTCGATTGTTTTTAAGGAGCTTCACGCTATTTTTGGGTGTGATTGTTGTGCGGAGAAGGTTCCAAGTGCGAGTCGAGATGTCTAACTACGTGAACGACCTCTGGCCGGGCTCGCCGCAGGACAAGGCGTCCCCGTCCACGGGCCGTTCCAGCCGCCTGTCGTCGCGTTCCAGCAGTAACCACTCCTCCTCCAGGAGCTCGGGCGCCCACGCCTCGAGCCGGTCGCCGTCCCGCAGTCGCCGGAACCGCTCGCGGTCTGTTTCCCGAAGGCGCCACCAGCGGAAGTACCGGCGCTACTCGCGTTCGTACTCGCGCAGCCGCTCTCGCTCTCGCTCCCGCGGCCGCCGCCACCACCACCACCACCACGCGCACCACGCCGAATCCTCCCGCAGTCGCCGCCGCTCGCCGTCGCGCCGCCGATCCCGCAGCAGGTCCCGCTCCCGGGACAGGTCCTACTACCGGCGGGCTTACGCCCTGACCCGCGGGCGCCGCTACTACGGCTTCGGCCGCACCGTCTACCCCGAAGAACATCGGATGGCCAGGGACCGGTCCAGGACGAGGTCGCGCAGCCGGACGCCCTTCCGCCTGACAGACAAAGGTGAGGCCCCACCTGCCCTTGAGACGCCGCACGGCAGCCCTTTGTCACGTTACCGGCCTGTGGCTTAGCAACTGAAGTTGTTGGGCGGAGAAATCCAGTAATCGCAATTAGAACGCTGGCAACAATTTTATGTTGTTAAGATTTTGTTTGGGGCGTGTGTGTATTTTTAGGCTTAGATTTTTTAGAAAAAAGTTATTGTCGGGCCAGATTAATTTCATGATCCCAGAAAGTATTTTTTACTATGTTGGTTTAATGGAAAAATTTTTATTAGTAAGGATTTCAATACATTACCCAGAACTTTTATTTTCTTTGTTACTTATAAAATGGTTGAGAGATTGTAACTCAATGTTGAGATTAATGAGGAAATTAAGAAAAAGAATAACCTTTGGAATCAAACTGCTCCTAGTTTGAAATTTATCTACTTTTACTTCCTGCTTCTGTAACTTGGAGAGATTTTTTTACCCCCTTAATTTGAAATAGGCAGTAGTCAGAACAGAGCAGGGTAACACTGCATGGTTCAAAATTGGGAAGGGTGTATGCCAGGGATGCATCCTGTCTCCATACCTTTTCAACATGTATGCAGAGCAGATTATCCGAGAGGCTGGGCTCTATGAGGAGAATTGTGGCATCAGGATTGGTGGAAGATCTACTAACAATTTCCGTTATGCAGATGATACAACCCTGCTTGCTGCGAAGGGTCAAGGACTGCAGCCTTCAGTATGGACTGAGGCTCAATGTCAAGAAGACAAAGATTCTCACCACTGGACCAATTGGCAGCGTCAGGATGGATGACGAAGAGATTGAGATTGTTCACAGCTTCAGTTTGCTCGGCTCCACAGTCAACACTCTTGGCACTAGCAGTTAGGAAATCAAAGCGTTTTGTGATGGGAAAGTCTGCTGTTAGGGATCTCTCTAAGGTACTCAGGAGCTACAGTGTCTCTCTGGAGACTAAGGTGTGCCTGATAGAGGCCATGGTATTTGCAATCGCTTGTTGGACAATGACTAGGGAGGACAGAAGGAGAGTGGATGCTTTTGAGCTGTGGTGCTGGAGAAGGGTAATGAATGTACCATGGACTGCCAGGAAAACAAACAGATTCATCTTGGAGAGGATTAAACCAAGCTACTCCTTGGAGGCAAGGATTCTGGGGCTTCATCTGACATACTTTGGACATGTTGCCAGGAGGGACAGGTCCTTGGAGAGGGACATCATGCTTGGGGGGTGTGGAGGGAAGGCGCAGGAGGGGAAGACCCTCTATGAGATGGATTGATTCGGTGACTGGGGTAATTGGGATGGGTGTGTCAGAGGCAGTGCGGTTGGCACAGGATAGAGCAGGGTTTAGTGCTGCTGTGCATAGGGTCGCTAGGAGTCGTAAACGACTCGACGGCACATAACAATTTGAAATACAGATTTGTGGTGGGCTGTGAATAACACATAGAAAATGTTTAGTTTAAAAAAAGTAATTACTGACGTCAAGGTGATTCTTCTGTAGAGTAAAGCTGTCTTGTAGGGTTTCCTTGTTGCAGCTGTTGACTTCCAGTCTGTTGAGTTGCTGCTTAGCCCACCCAAGTGCCTTTTCTAGAGAGATGCTTAATTTGAGTTCAGGTGGAGAAAAGCCTTTTAACTAAGTGACGTGACATAGGTTAAAACTTGTGACAGGAAAAGTAAAACTAGTATTTTTGCTTTGTATACTCTATTCCACATTTAATGTCTTGATGATTAAAAAAAATTCTGTTGAATGTTTTAATGGAAAAAAGACGTTAAGCAAATACTAGGGGAATTGAGCAGTAGATGGACTTGAATGTCTACTCACTGACGAAAAAACAAAGTTGTTCAGGCCTTTGGTAAGGAAAGAAACTTGATGGTATTTGAGGATCCTTACACTTCTTAACAAGACTTGTTTTTGTAAAAAAGAAAAAGTCCTTTTCACGTGAAAACAAATGTTTATATTGTGTTTACTTTGAATCTGAGTCCTTTAGAGTGCTAAGGAATTTTAGTAATTTATTTTTTGTGTTTTTTTTTTTAAGATCGAATGGAGCTGTTAGAAATAGCAAAAGCTAATGCTGCAAAAGCTTTAGGAACCACCAACATTGACTTGCCAGCCAGTCTTAGAACTGATGCTAAGGAAACATCTATATCTAATACGAAGTATGAGGTAAGTATTGTGTATTTATCTCAAGTAATTTAAAAAATATCTGATTGTTTTTATTTGTTTTACTATTCTAAGAAAGACTTGAAATTTAATTTTAAAGTGGTGGAAAATAGCTTTGAAGATAATTACCAGTGGTTGTCATCTGTGTGACTGTTGCAGTTGAACTTGATACTTTGGTGACCAACCATCCAGATTGCCTGAGATGCACTTAAGTCTTTGTTCCAGGAACATCCTCCTGGGTGTGGAAAGTCCTGGTTTCCGGCAGTTAGTGTGTACAGGCAATCTAAATATGCTAAAAAAATACCAGATTGGAATTACTGGATAGGCTGTCACTTGTGGAAATTAATAAACTTTAGTTTAGCTAAACACAGTGCTGGTCAGCTACCATGTAACATGCTATGTTACTGTGTTATAAATCAGGTGCTACCTCTGTAGTTGAACGTCTTATTTACCTTAGTCTTTACACAATATCTGTAGATTTCATTTGTAGCGTTATGTTCCCACAAATTTCTGTACTCAACATACAGTATAGTTTACCTGCTTTATTTCTGTCTTATAGAAATCTTGAATGTGGTCTCCAGACATTGATGAAGAAAATCTGTTGGTAATTGGTACATGGGCCAGAGAAAGCTTCAGAGGTTTAAATAATGTGAAGTTTACATTTCACACATGAAAGCTTAGATTGTGGTTAGTAGATGTGCATGCTAGAATTTGGGTCAGGTTACTATTTTGCTAAGTTAATGGCACATATTGTAATAATGGGGCATCTGTGGTATAGATGTCCATTTCATAATATATGCAATATATTCCAGATGATTTGAGAGATTACAGAAGAAGACACCTGCTTCACTTGCAGATAAGTTGATTGTAATTCTCTAGAAGCGTGCAGAGTATGCACTGGTGAATAACAATGTGGAAGTCAGAGCTTCAAATTCATTTTCTGAAAGGTATAGGGAGTTAGTTGATGTTGACATTTGTGATGTTGACTGTTAGGAACTGGGTTAATTACATTCCAAGTGTCTGAAACAAAAGACTTGAGTCATATATTATTAATGTCAAGAAAAACTGTACACTTAATGTACCTACAATTGGGACTCTGATGTGGGTTTGTTTTAGTAGTATTACTAGTCCAGTAGGGTCTTTATTGAATTACTAATTCATTGGTTAGGTGCCTGTACAGGCAGTGCAATAGTTGATTGAAGAAGTAAATTGGAATAAGCATTTTCTGGTATATCTGTGAAATTTGAGTAAAGAGCGGGATAAAACGATCTAGTATTTATATTATGGCAAAGAATACCTTTATGAAGCCTGTCATAAGTGAATTTTGTTAAGGATAAACTGGAAAAGATTATTAATTTGGCTGATAAATTACATAAAGCCAAGTTGATTTGTGTAGGCAACTGAATTTATATACTATTACACAGTACTTATAAACCAAGGGTGTACTTTTAAAAAAATATACTTTCCTCACCTGTCTAGCTGTCGGAAAAGTTAACCAAAGATGGAACTAAAAGTCCCAGTGAAAAATCTTCCGAGCAAAGAAGCATAGCTTTTAGCTCTAATGTAGTAAGTACTATCTAAGCATTGGACATTCAAAAGTCAGATTTTGAACATCCCAGTATGATAGGCTTTTATTTCTGTTGGAAGACTTAACTAGTTTGTCTTTGTTCATCATTTGGGGTCTGTTGAAATACAGTAACAACATTTTTCAGCCACGTTTATAAGTATTTGTATAATGGGATCGCATATCCACACTTTCACTCTTTTGACATGCTTTTATCCAATTTTTTTTTTTTTATAAACACTAAGAATGTTTCTAAATTACAGTATCTGAATCAGAGAAAGGCTACAAAAACTAAACACTTGAACTGTTAGACACCTAACAACATACATTTTACTTCTCTGATTTTCCCCAAGTTTTCTTGCAGTGTTTCCGTTTGGTTGAATCAGTTTATAAATGATCATATTTTGCATTTAAGTTTCAATCTTAGATGGATTGACTTAGTTTGTCAAACATATATTTGGGAATTTGACTTAAGAATTTGTTCTCTTACAGAATTCTGTAGCAAAGCCAGTACTTGAGAAGGCAGCTAATTCTACTACCGAAGAGATTTCTTCAAGATCCGCCAAAATAGATAAGAAAAAAAGTCCATATGAACTGTGGTTGCCTGTGTGAGAGAAGAGAACTGATCCTAAGGTCTGAAACTGCACTTTATTGAAAGTTTCTATCAAGCATTTTTCCATCCCAGTAAGATACTGGAAACTTGGAAATAAAGACCCCAATGTGAGAAGACTTAAGTACATGAATATTTAAATATTAACATAGATTTGTCTTGCAGATATGAGATAGCACAAATGGACCAGAGGTTACAAACAGGTGGGAATTTTGTATATATAATTGTAAATATTTTGTATAATTTGTTAGTGAAATTTGTAAGACAAACTTGGTAATTGGACATTGATCTGTATTTGTTGTGTATATTTAATATAATAAAAGACATTTTTTAACTTAATCTCTTGTGATTATGTTACATTTTAATAACGAAAACAGGTTTCTCATTCATAAGTTTAGTCTTGTTCATCTGTTGTGGAAGTTTTTTAGAAATGCATTAAATGCAAATCTGTTGTTAGGTGCTGTCAAGTTGTCTGTGACTCATAGCGACCCTGTGTGCAACAGCCCTAAACTCTGCTCTCTCCTGTGCCAATCGCACTGTCTCCGAGACACCCATCCCGATGACTCCAGTCACTGAATCCACCTTATAGAGCTTTCCTCTCCTGCACTGCCCTTCCACCCTACCAAGCATGATGTCCCTCTCCAAGGACCTGTCCCTCCTTACAACATGTCCAAAGTATGTCCAGACGAAGCCTCAGAATCCTTTCCTCCAAGGAGCAGCCTGGTTTAATCCTCTCCAGGATGAGCCTGTTTGTTTTCTTAGCAGCCCATGGTATAGTCAATACTCCAGCACCACAGCTCAAAGGCATCAATTCTCCTCCCTAGTCATTGTCCAACTCTCTGCATAACAAGTGATAGCAAAGAACATGGCTTGTATCAGACGCACCTTGGTCTCCAGAGAGATACCATTGCTCTTCAGTACTTTGAAGAGGTCCCAAACAGAACCCTTTCCATGTCAATATGTCTTTTAATTTTGTGGCTGCTTGTTGCCAAGAGTGTTGACTGTGGAGCCAAGCAAGCTAAATGGTGAACAAGCTCAATCTCTTTCACTGTCCATCCTGATGCTGCCAGTTGGTCTAGTGGTGAGAATCTTCGTCTTCTTGACATTGAGCCTCAATCCATATTGAAGGCTGTAGTCCTTGATCCTCTGCAGCAAGCACTTCAAGTCCTCAGTTTCAGCAAGCCAGGGTTGTGTCATCTGTTGCGCAAACGCAGATTAAGTCTTGCACCAGTCCTGAAACCACATTATTCCTCATAGAGCCCAGCCTCCCGGATAATCTCATCTGCATACAGGTGAAAAGGTATGGAGACAAGACAAATCCCTGGCATACGCCCATCCCAATTTTGAACCATGCAGTCTTTCTCTGTTTGGAAGACTGACTCGTGCAAGTTTAGGTTTCACATTAGCATGATAAAGTGTTACGTCATTCCCATTCTTCTCAAGAGTCAGCCACAGTTAAAATCTACACAGTCAAATGCCTTTGCATAGTCAATGGAACATTGCTCTGGTATTCCCTGCGTTTAGCCAAGATCCATCTAACATCAGCTATAATGTCCCTAGTTACCACAACCCCCTCTAAACCCAGCCTGGACCTGGCAGATCTCTGCTGATGTGCTGTTCCAGTCGTTTTTAGATGATCTTCAGTAGAATCTTGCTTACATATGAAATAAATGATACTGTTCTATAGTTTCCACACACTGTTGGGTCAACGATCAAGTCTATACTCTTGAAAAAAATCTAAAGCTGCCAACTGCCTTTTGTGCTTTCCCTTGAGGGAAAAACCTAAAGCTGCTGTACAAAGTTCTCAACATTGATTTGTATGCCCATAAAAGTTGGAAAAGAGGGAATATGAATTGTATGCTTTTGTGGAATGATGTCTTGGAATAGTGCTTCAGGGCAGGAAATGAAGCCATTTGGAAATGTTTCACTAAGAATGTGAGATTTGTTATTTGCTAAAGCATTTTAAGGTCTGTTTAGTTGAAAATCCTAGCCAAAATCCTATTGGGAGACCATGAGATTGGCTGTACCTTTTTTTTTTTTAATCCTTGTGTTTTTCACACCAGTTTTCTTCACCTCCGCCCCTCCTTTTTTTAAAAGGTATTATTCCAGTCCATCCTCAGTCTCACCCCTCCCTGTCACTATTCTGCATAACTTTTTAACAAAATTACAGATATACAGTAAATGGAGATAGTTGGGTAGAATATTGAGAGTCTAAACAAAAATTGGTGCGGCTTCATCTTACATGAAGATGTAAGATGGCCTGTAGGTATGGCTATTCCCTGGAGAAAAGGATGTTATCCTTGGAGGAGGGACAGCAGAAGAGATGAGAAGATCCTTAGCCATGTGGATTGATGACAGTGGTTAGTGATGGGGTTGTGTCAGATTAGGATTAGGGTTCACATCTGTTCACTGAGTTGTTCTGGGTCATAGTGGCACTTAAGAACAACAAACAGGAAAAGGCACTCAAAAGTTTAGGGACCTCAGAGAAGGAGGGGGAAATTGCTGCCATTGAACAGTATTACTGTTAACAGAATTTTTTTTTTAATTTTTTCAAAAAATTTCATTATTTTTTGTGTGTACCGTCAAATCAGATCTGACTGGTACAAGAGGAGATTGTTCTCCTCCAGCAGAGCATCTGGTGGATTCAAACCGTGCATCTCTTGAGAATGCAGTTGCAGCTTCTTGCCACTAGGCCACCAGAGCTCGCCTAGATCTTAATTTTTATATTATCATTTATTAGCTTTCCAGGAAGCTCTGGCATAGTGGTAAGGAGTTGCAGTGGCAACCTGAAGACATTTACTCCTAAATGGAATCATTGACTTGCTTCAGAAACTCAAGATCATCCTGAGTTACAATCTTAAACTATTTGTCAGCAGTGGTTCCCAAACTTCTATATGAGAAAAGTGATGCAGAAAAATAAACTAGTAAAGAATTGATGCCTTTGAGCTGTGGTGAAGAAAAGCACTGAACATCGCATGGATGGCCAGGCTAACTAAGGTTGCAGCTGGAGTGCTCTTTGGAGGCAAGAATAATAAGGATTCACATCTTTGGGGATGTTGCTAGGAGGGGCCTTGGAGAAAGACATGATGATGGGAAGTCATGTTTCTCTATTTATTGATAATCGGGAAGCAAATCATAAAAGGAATTCTGTGTAAATGAAGCTGAATTTTTCTCTATTGTCAACCTAATGCTCTAGATCAGGAAGTAATTCACAGGTAGTAACAACACTCCCTCTGTAGGGGGCCCCTAGATGTCTTTTCTCTGCAGGGAACAAACAGCTCATTTTCTGTGATCTGCCACAAGAGACATCCTAACTTACAAATCTGTAATTCCTTCAATTCCTGAACAAGGGTTTTCATATAATATTTGGTATAAAGTCTGGCTTCCCATGGTCCTATATTTCAGGTTTTTTCAGTATTTGACTAAGTGAAAGGGTTAGCCTTGATGCACACCTTTCCTGATTTTAAATTGTGCAGTGCCCTTTATTCTGCTTGTTAGGTGCCATTGAGTCAAGTATGACTCATAGTGACCCTGTGAACAAAAGATCTGAAACCAGTCCTGTTTTGTGTCATCCTCACACTTGGTAACACAAGAGAGAGCCCATTGCAGCAGTCACCTTGTCAGTCCACCTGGTTGAGGGTCTTCCACTCCTTAGCCGACTCTACCCCCTTCCCAGCATCATGTCCTTCTCCAAAGAATAGCATTGATTTTCCATATTTTAACTTCCAATGTGGGTTCTACCACTATACTACTATAACTATCCTCTTTTTTTTAGTGTTCATAGGGTTTTCAAGAGCCTTTCATTTAGGAAGTAGATGGCCCATTCTGCTTAAACCATATTCTGGGATTTTAATTTTCAGTGTTCTACGTAATTTGCTGTCCACACAAGATAATTGCCTTTGTATAGTAAAAATAACAGACAGTTAATACTCGAACCTTTCAGCAGTGGAACATCTTACATCAGCAATAAATAGACCTCATTTCATGAAACTGGCTTGAATTTCTGGCAGAATTAGTTTCAATTTCTTAGTGTCTTGTGCAAGTAAACCACTGTCTCCAGTTGCATCCAATTCTTTGCAGGGCCTTTTTTTATAATAACATATTACACTTGTTGCCTTTATTACATCCAGCTACTTTATAAATATTTAAAACAGCTTAGTTGTTACCTACTACAATTTATTTTATTTTTTTTTAATTATTTGTGTGTACTGTCAAATCAGATCTGACTGGAACAGGAGGAGATTGTCCCTCCTTCCCCGGCAGAGCATCTGGTGGATTCGAACTGTGTGCCTCTGGGATTGCAGTGCAGGTTCTTGCCATTAGGCCACCAGAGCTCCCCTCTACTACAATTTTTAGTAATATTTTGAGTCATTTCCAGGTCAGTGATATTTTGAGTCATTTCCACGTCAGTGATCATGAGGTTTCCAAGGATATAATTCTTAGCTAGAGGAACTAACATACTTCCGCCTCAGTGCTGCTGGTGAATTCAGACTGTAGGAAATACACAACCATTTTACTAGCATGGTAACACCCTTTGGGCTTAAAGCAGTCTTGTCTTAGTACTTTTGAGGCACTTAGTTGCTCACTCTCCCATAACACTTCCTATTTATTGCCTTCTTCATGCTAATTTTTACACACAATGGGGTTGAGACAGTTTGGATGAATGGCCAACTCAATGCTTTATGTAAATTTTTTTATCACTAGTTTGATAGCTATATAAAAAAGCTTTGATAGACTTAATTGGGCTTGGATGTGGGGTTGCTTTTAAAAAGACTGTATGGCTCCAGAAACTGATTCTATCAGACACTCTTGGAGTAAGCTAAGCATATGTATTTGTTCAAAGTTCTCAAAATGATCATCCCAGTGTGCCCCACGTGTTAAGAACCACTATATATTTCATCTCCTAAAGAGAATACAACCTTGCTGAAACAGGAAAATGTGAAATGCTTGCTGCAGAAGGTCAAGGACTTCAGCTTTCAATATGGATTAAAGCTCAACATCAAGAGAACAAGGACTCTCACCACTGGACGAATTGGCAGCAGCATGATACACAGTGAAGAGACCGAGATGTTTAACAGCTTCAGTTTGCTTGGCTCCACAATCGACACTTTTGGTACCAACATCCCGGAAAGCAAAAGACAAATTGCATTGAAAAAGTCTACTGTCGGACCTCTCCCAAGGTACTGAAAAGCAATTATGTCAGTCTGGATTATAAGGTCCACCTGATCCAGGCCATAGCCTTCCCAATTGCTTTGCTATACATCAGAAAGCTGGACATTGACTAGGGATGATGGAGAATTGATGCCTTTGAGCTGTGATGCTAGAGAAATGTATTGAGTATACCATGGACGTTAGGTGAACAAACAGGTTGGTCCTGGAGAAGGTGAAACCAGGCTGACCCTTGGAGACAAGAATTCTGAAGCTTCATCTGGCATTATTTGGGCATGTTGCAAGGAAAGATGAATCCTTGGAGAGGGACGTCCTGGCTGGGAGAGTGGATGATCAGTGTAAGAGATGAAGAGCCTGGGTGAAATGAATTGACTCAGTGACTAGGGTAATGAGGTTAGGTGTGTCAAGAGATGATAAGATTGGCTCAGGAGAATGTTCAGAGCTGTTGTACATAGGCTTGCTGAGTTGCAAGTCATTCAATGGCACATAAGGAGAATCCGTCTTACAGTCTGAAAGGTGAGCCAGTTTGGCACCTTGCCCTTCTGTGAACAAATATGTGAGATTTCAAGTGAAAGGTATGAGATGGACAACAGAACTATTTCAGGTGGTGGTGGTGTTAAGGGCCGTCGAGTCGCAGGTGACTCTTAGCAACCTATGAACACAAGCCCTGGACACCTCCTGTATAACTTTTGTCCTTTCTCCAGGTTCATAGGGTTTCCAGAAGCAAGCTATTGTGAAAGTGGATGCCATTCCTGCTTCCAAGCTTGTTTTAATTGGGGAGCTTCAAACACTGTCCACCATGGGTAGCCATTCTTGCATTTGACTCATCAGTGTCACAGTGTTTGGCTTCACAGCAATCACGAGTTACCTCTGTACAGAAAGTGGACACACCAGTGCTATACCACTTAGAAGAATGTTTCACTTCACGTGGAGCTTTCAGAATTTGCACATTTGTGTGTGTGAGTTTACAGGCCCCTGGGCTACAGAGATCAGGTACTATAAGCTGTTTATGGGCACCTACAGTGATGGGGACAGACTTCAGATGGGGTCAGCTTAACATAGGTTGTGATAAAGGCTTATTAGGAAATTGTTTTCCTAGGCTTTTGTCACATAGGTGGGTGTCAACATACATATAAGGTGTATAGTGTATTCATGAGGGGAATGGCCAATTTCTCTATTCTGCCAGGTTTCAACTGAACAAGTTGGAATAGCAGATAACTGGAAATCTCAACAACAGAGATGAATCTGAGAATGCTGTGTGTGTTCTTGAGGCCAGAGATTCCTGCACCAGTTAGACTGGGACATACACAAGACCTAGACCTAGAAGCAGTCTGAACAGCAAGGGGGCACTGCTTGGTTTATAATCAGGAAAGGAGTGTGCCACAGTTCTTTTTTCCTTACCCAATCTGTATACTGAACCAATCATTTGAGAAACTACTTTCTTGGGATGGGAGGGTGTAAACTGCAATAATGAAAGTTGGGTTTTTTTTTCCAAAGAGAAAAGTGAATTGGGGTGGGGTGTGGGTAGGGAGGAAAATGTGCAACAATGAATGAATGGAAATCCAAGTTCTCTATAAACTTGTCAATATATAAAAAAATTTAAAAAAGAAGTGACTTGCAGAGGAAAGTGGTATCAGAATATGAGGAAGACTGACTCAACAACCTGCATTATGCAGATAACTACTTGCTACAAGTGAGGAAGACTTGAAATGCTTGCTGCAGAAAATAAAAGGACTATAATCTTCATTATGGATTACATTTCAACATCAAGACAAAGTCCTTATCACTGGACCTGTAGGCAACGTCATAATTACAGGAAAAATTCCTCCAACTTAACTGCGGAGCAATCTTACCAGTTTGAAGATTAAGGTGTGCCTGATTCAGGCCATGGGTTTCTCACTTTCTGAGAGCTGGATAATGAATAAAGGTGACAGAAGAATCTGTCTTTGAGTTGTGGTACTTCGAGAAAAGTACTGAATAGTCTGTGGAGTGTCAAAAGAACAAATGGACAAGTCTTGGAAAAAGTGAAACCAGGGTGCTCCTTGTAGGCAAAAATGAAGCTTCACCTTACATGTTAAGTGCCGTTGAGTTGTAGGCAACTCACAGCAACCCTGTGAAAGAAAATCCTCAACACTTGTTTGACTTTCATCCTTTTTCCAGGTTCATAGGGTTTCCAGAGGCAAGATATTATGAAAGTGGATGCCAGTCCTGCTTCTAAGCTTGTTTTAAATCAGGGAGCTCCACCAAACACTGCCATGGGTAACCATTAACCCATCTGACACATCAGTGTCACAGTGTTCAGCTTCACAGCAACCACAGGTTAACTCTGTACGGCAAGTGGACACATCAGGGCTACACGACCTAGAAGAAAGTTTGAAGAAAAACATACTTTGGACATACTAGGTTATTCCTTGCAGAGGGACATCATGCTTGGAAAAAAGGACTCTTAAGATGACTTTCAAGGTGTCACTGAAATGTAAAAAACTTTTTGGGGATATTGAATAAGTATGCATAAAATCCTTACCAGTGTATCAGTATCATTATGACAAATCAGTACTATGGTAACAGCAATTAAGAAATCAAAAGATGTACTGCATTAGGTATATGTGCTGTCAACGACCTCCTTAACGTTCCAAAATCCAATCAATTTAAAGACTAAGGTGCACCTGATAAAAGTCATGGTATTTTCAGTTGTTTGTTATGTACCTGAATGTAAGGACAATACAAAGACCAAACAGTCGATGGCTTGAGTATTTGCAGGCAAAGAGTATTAAATATACTGTGTGCTGCCAAAATAACAAATCTGCAAAGAAAAGTACTCACTAAAGGCAAGGATGACGTAACTTCGCCTCACCTATTTTGGGCAAGTTGTCAGAAGCGGCGCCAGTCCTTGGAAAAACATGCTGGGAAAGCTTAAGCATCAACGAAAGAGGAAGATTCTAACCAGGTGGACTGACACAGGGACTACAATGAGTTTGAGCAAGGCGGAGATCATGTCTACAGCGCAGGACAGGGTTCCGAGCCGCTCATTTCGGTTATTACACCTCCCACTCTATCCCTTCTCTAGAGCTCGTCCGTCTCTGCCCCGCCCCTGGTGCTTTCTGCGGCTGCGCAAGGATTCGCCCAATCAAGAACTGCTCATTGCTAAAACTGGCAGAGATTGGTCATAAATTTCTGGTTGCCAAGAAAAGGTGGGACTTTAGTGCTGTTTATTAGTATCTGTCCGCGGATGGGTAGGCGGGACTACGGGAAGCCTCTTTGTTGTTGCGGAAGTGGCGAGGGAGTTGTCATGATGGCGGCTGCGACGCAAATTGAGACGGTAGGTACCAGGCCTCCTTAGGGTTTTCTGTGAGGGAGGAATGTAAGGAGACGCAGAGGCAAGGGATCGAGGGGGGATTGTTTGGGCGCTGCCGGTCGGGATCAGCAAAGAAGATGCTCAAATGGAATTGGTTGAGACGGCCGGACCTTAAACCTGTCCTTTTCGTCCAGGGCCCAGTGGACGGCGTGGAGGAGGAGCAGTCTCTCTCGGCAGCGGAGGAATTGGCCGCCCAAAAGCGCGAACAGAGACTGCGCAAATTCCGGGAGCTGCACCTGAAGCGGGTGAGTCGCCCCAGCCGTCAGTATGGTCAGGGCAGCGCGCGTCAGGGAGGAATCTCTTGCCATACAAAGTTAAGCCACCTCTCCTTACTGACCCGCACGACTGCATCATCCTCGCTTCTTCCTCCAGTCAGATTTAACTTACTTATTAGTTCTGTGTTTTTCTCTCGCTTGCTTCTAATCACTGTATAGTTGATTACAGACAAATTACAGGATGCCAGAAACTATAGTAAAGTAGGTAATTTGATTCTCCCACTTTTCAGAGCCTTAAGGGATAAAGCCTAAAATGTATTTGTGCTTAATTTTGAGGCCTTGCATCAACTTTTCTTTCGTGTTCTAGGCTTTTTTCCTCCCTCAAAGTTTTGGTCCTTCTTGAGAAGGCACTTATTTTCCTTCGAGTTGGATTTTTGGTAAAAGTTTACAGAAAAGGAAAGGTTGTCCTTGAGAGTGCACTTTCCGTCGAATTGGATTTTGGGTAAAAGTTTACAGAAAACAAAAGGTTTCTATTCGACAGTTTTGTTTCATGAGATTAGAGGTCTCCTCTTACAGATAGTCTCTTACTAATAGCCTCCTTGCTCTGTGATTCCAAGAAACCGTTCATTTTTTTTCTTCCAGAAGTAATATAGCATTAAAACCAGAGATAAGTCTTGGAGAGGGTGCAGCCAGAGTGCTCCTTGAAGGCAAGGATGGAAAAACTTTGTCTTGCATACTTTTGCCATGTTGTTAGGGAAAGATATTCCTTGTAGAAGGACATCATGCTTAGAAAGGTGGGAGGATTGTTTTTTTAAAAAATTAATTTTAATGAAAGTTTACAAAGACTTAGGGTTTCCAGTCATTCATTGTTGCACTTTTCTCCCTGCCCACCCCTCCCCATTAATTCATCTTCTCCTTGAAAAGAAAAACTCTTTCATTGTTATGCAGTCCCTCCCCCCAAGTCCACCCCATTATGCAGTCTTCACTCTAGACTTCTGTAATGACAAGAATATCCATTCATATGTCCCTTTTAAACAGTTCTCTCCATCATCTGTTTCAATGCAATATATATTATTCCTCCCCTCCTTTTCTGTCTTCCCTCAACCCTGATGTTAGTTCCATTTTACAACAGTGGCCCCATGCAATATTTGTCCTTTTGTGACTGAGATATTTCACTCAGCATAATGTCTTCCAGGGTCATCCATTTTGCATAATATTTCATGAGTTTCTTATTTTTCAATGATGCATAGTATTCCATTGTGTGAATATACCACAGCTTCTCTATCCATTCGTTTGTTGATACTTGGGTTGTTTCCAGCTCTTTGCTATTGCGATCAAAGCCGCAATAACCATGGCTTAAAAAAAAAGGTGGGCGGAGTGTGAAGAAGAGGTCAAACCAGGTGCATTGATAGACACAGTGACTGCAGCCACGGGCTCGACTCTATTTGCGATTGTGAGGTTGACACAGCATGGGACAGAGTTTGGGTCTGTTGTTCATAGGGTTCCTAGGGGTGGTGCTCAACTTCACTGTCACCTAGTAACAACAAGACCAGAAGAAACCTGATCACATTCTCCTAGAGTTTGTTTTGTTTCTTCATTCAAAAACATTTTGCACATTTTTGAAAGTCTCCAGTGCCCAGGTAGTGCAGAGGAAAAGAAGTTAATGTAGTTTTGGGAGTGAAGGGAAGCTCCAGACAGAGCCTCATGAGAAATGACATCTAAACTACTCTTTGAAAGTATGCTGCTATGTAACAGAGGAATGTATTAGGGGAATCCAGTCACAGAAGAGGGAACCTGTGCAAAGAAAGAGTCCTCATTAGGGATGTTAGGGGCCGTTGAATTGATTGTGACTCATAACAACCCTATGAACAACAGGGCTGAACCTTGTCTTCACTTACACCATCTTCGTGATTGCAGATATCTCGAGCTCATTGTTACAGTCGCCGTGTCAGTCCATCTTGATGAGGTTCTTTCTCTGGCTCTTTTCCAAGGATTGGCTTCTAACAACATGCCCAAAGTATGTCAGGCGTTTCATCATTATTGCCTTTAAAAAAGGTTTAAATCATCCTTTCTGGCTGCATATCCTCCAAGACAGACTTGTTTGTTTTTTAGCAGTTCATGGGCTCCCTGATATCCTCGAAAGTACTGATGAAAGTACTGATTCTCTTCTCCAGCACTGTAACTCGAAGGCATCAATTCTTTTGTCATCCTTATTTATTATCCATCTTTGAGGTGGATGGCAAGTAATTGAAAAGACTTGAATTAAGTGCACCTTAGTCTAGCAAACATCAGGTAGCACTGGAGCTAAGAGAACATGGGGGAAAAACAAAAGAATCCCTGACTGTTGTAATCCTGGAGCTGGTGTGACTTACTAGCTAGACCCTGGTTTCACAAAACTCCACAACAAACATACTTCAAATTACAGAAATGAGCCCCCTCTTCTGGCCAACAGGAGTAACAGCATTTGTTTATTTATATATTTTTTTAAATTAATTTTCGTGAACATTTACAGAGACTTTGGATTTCAGTCATTCATTGTTGCACATTTCTCCCTGCCCAATCTCCGCTCAGTTTGCTCTTCTCTTTGAAAAGTAAAAGAAAAATTCTTTTTGTTATACAATCCCTTCCCCCAAGTCCACTCCACTTTGCAGCCTTCGTTCTGGACTCCTGTCATGACAATAATACCAAATCATATATCCCATTTAAACAGTTCTCTCCCTCATCTGTTTTAAACAGCATTAGTTTGGTGGCTTAGTGCTAAGGAGCTTTGCTGCCAGCCCGAAGGCAGCAAGTTCAAATCCATCGGTTGTTCCACAGGCACAGTCACATCCCGTACGATTTATAGCCTCTGAAAACCTGGTGGAGGGTCAGCTAAGAGTCCTTTCTGACTCAACAGTGTAGAACCACCACTACCACCACCACCACCTTGGGTACTAGTCAGAAGTGGCATCAGGATTGGAGGGAGACTCATCAATAACTTGCATTATGCAAATAACACACTTACTTGCTGAAATAACACTTGCTGAAAGTGAGGAGGACTTGAAGCACTTTTTACAGAATATCAAGGAATGGAGCCTTCTGAATGGATTGAGTCTCAGTATCAAGAAAACAAAGATTCTTAGCACTGGACCAATAGGCAGTATCATGATGGCTAGAGAGGAGATTGAAACTGTCAACAGCTTCATCTTGCTTGGATCCACAATTAACACCTTTGGTATGAGCAGTCAGAAAATAAGGAGGCGCATTGCACTGGGAAAATCTGCGGTTGGGGACCTTTCCAAATTATTGAGGACTAGTGATGTCAGTTTCAGGACTAAGGTGTGTTTATTCAGGCCATGGTCTTTCTGATTACTAGTCATGCATCTGAAACCTGGACAGTGAATAAGGATGACAGGAAAAGAATTGATGCCTTTGAGCTGCGGTGTTGGAGAAGAGCACTGAACATCCTGTGTACGGTCAAGAGAACAAACACATATGTCGTGGAGAGGGTGCAGCCAGAGTGCTCTTTGAAGGCAAGAATTATGAGGCTTTGCCTAACATATGCTGCTAAGAGGGGCTATTCCTTGGAGAGGGAAATCATGCTTGGAAAGGTCGGCAAAAGAGGAAGGCCTTCAACGAGATGGATTGACACAGTGACTGCAGCAGTAGGTGCAAGGGTGTCAGATGTTGTGAGGATGATGTATGATAGGACAGGGTTCAGATCTTTTGTTTACAGAATTGCTGTGGGTTGTACTCGACGGCACCAAACAACAACAAATCCAAAGCAAACCCAAGATTCCATGATGCTTACCCCAAATTACCTGATATACATCCAAATCCTGCAACCAGCTGCTTTAGCATCTTTTCACTGAAATGCCTACGTGGTCTTTGTCAGGTCAATAAACCCATGGTTATTAGACTGCGGGTGTGTTCTTGGTGCCTCACTGTAGGGCATTGCCAGAATCAAGAGCCTGTAAGGGAGAGCCATTGAGTGAAGCATGTCTCTGCCTAGAAAAAAAAGCCAGTCTAATAAACACATTTAAGTAGTAAGAAAGTAAAGAACATATGCCTGGAAGTTAGGTGACATATAACTTACTATAGAGTCACTTGGCTAAAGCTTATTTACTGAAAAACTTGAAGTTTTTCCTTTTTTCCTTCCCCCCTTATGGTTTTGTTAAGATTTATTAAGTTTACTGAACAAATACTTTTTCCATTAATTAATTAGTACACACTATATTTTGTGACGTTGGTAATGATCTTCACATTGTGGCAGCCCTCTTCTTTACCCATTTCTGTTCTTTTTTCCTATCCATTCCTGCTGTCTGAGATTTATTCCTGGGCCGATGTTTCCCCTTTACTTGTGTGTGGTTGGCTGTTCTAAGCAGTACATTCCTCTCTGGTGTTGTTGATCTCCTTAAATTGTTCTCATTATGTACTGTCTTGTTGGAACCAACCCATAGCTTACCTCCTCAGTGGGTTTTCAGAGGCAGTTAATCACATGGGAGGCTCTGGCCCATCTTTTCTTTGTGGGGCAGCTGGTGAATTTGAATCGTGTTCCCTTGGGTCGGCAATGCAGCCCCTCAACACCAAGCCATCAGCACTCCCTGATCACCATAGGTTGATGTTATTGTTGTTGTTGTTGTTACGTGCCGTTGAGTTGCTTGTGACTCATAGCGACCCTGAGTACAAACAGTCCTAAACTCGGCTCTGTCCTGTGCCAGTTGCACTGTCTCCAATACACCCATCCCGATTTCCCCAGTCACTGAATCAATCCACCTCATAGAGGACCTTCCTCTCCTGTGCTGTCCCTCTACCCTCGCAAGCATGATGTCCCTCCTCCAAGGACTGGTCCTTCCTTACTACTTGTCCATAGTATGTTAGACGGAGCCTGAGAGTCCTTGCCTCCAGGGAGCCGCCCAGTTTAACCCTTTCCAGGATGAATCTGTTTGTTTTCCTAGCAGTCCATGGTACCCTCAACACTCTTCTCCAGCACCAAAGCTCAATTCTCCTTCTATCCTCCTTAGTCATTGTCCAACTCTCTGACGCATAACAAGTGATCACAAAGACCATGGCCTGTATCAGATGCACCTTAGTCTCCAGAGAGACACCATTGCTCTTCAGTACTTTGGAGAGGTCCCTAATAGCAGATTTTCCCATGGCAATACGTCTTTTAATTTCCTGGCTACTGGTGCCAAGAGTGTTGACTGTGGAGCCAAGCAAACTAAAGCTGTGAACAATCTCATCTCTTCACCATCTATCCTGATGCTGCCAATTGGTCCAGTGGTGAGAGTCCTTGTCTTCTTGACATTGAGCCTCAATCCATATGGGAGGCTGCAGTCCTTGACCCTCTGCAGCAAGCGCTTCAGTCCTCCTCAGTTTAGCAAGCAGGGTTGTGTCATCTGCATATCGCAGATTGTTGATAGGTCTTCCACCAATCTTGACCCCACATTTCTCCTCATAGAGCCTAGCCTCCCAGATAATCTGTTCTGCATAGAGGTTGACAAGGTATGGAGACAGGACACATCCCTGGTGTACGCCCTTCCTAATTTTGAACCATGCAGTGTTTCCTTTCTCTGTTCTGTTGACTGCCTCTTGGTTCAAGTATAGGTTTCTCATTAGCACAATCAAGTGTTCTGGTATTCCCATTCTTCTCAGAGTCAGCCACAGTTTGTTATGATCCACACAGTCCAACACCTTTGCATAGTCAATGAAACACAGATATACATTCTTCTGGTATTCCCTGCTTTCAGCTAATATCCATCTAATATTAGCTACAATATCCCTAGTACCATGACCCCTTCTAAACCCAGCCTGGACATCTGACAGTTCTCTGTTGAGGTGCTGTTCAGTTGTTTTTGGATAATCTTCAGTAGAATCTTGGCTTGCGTGTGAAATTAATGATACTGTTCTATAGTTTTCACACTCTGTTGGGTCACCCTTCTTTGGGATGGGAACAAATATAGATCTCTTCCAGTCAGCTGGCCAAGTGGTTGTTCTCCAGATTTCTTGGTTAGCACATCAAGGGCAGCATCTGTTAGCTGAAATATCTCAATTGGGATACCATCTATTCCTGGGGCCTTATTTTTGCTATTTCCATCAAAGAAGCTTGAACTTCTTCCTTCATCACCATAGGCTCTTGCTCATATATTGTTTCATAAAATTCTTCTGTGTCTGCCAATTCCTTTCGATACAGTGACTCAGTACATTCTTTCCATCTTCTTTTAATACTTCTTGGATCATTTAATATTCTGCCCAAAGCATCCTTGATCACCATAGGCTTGTTAATTTGCTATTTGGCTGAAAGCTTAGCTCAATTCTAAGGTTGAAGGGTGACTGAGGACCATAGTTTTAGGGGTTCTGCCAGTCTCTTTCAGATCAATAAGCTTTGTCTGAGGATTTTGTGATTTCCTTTCTCTGTCATTAGCATTATTAATCGAGCCAATTCAAGAGCTCTTAATTACAGTGATCACGGACCTTTTCCTGTGATTCCTTTCAGAGCTACCAGCAAGGTCTCAGGTCATCAAAACTTATGTTCACATAATTCTTGGTCTTCATTATTTTTGCTGGGTAGGGAGACTCCAAAGGTTGCACCTTCGATGGCCAGACACTCACAAGCTTTTAAAACTCCAGTCATCACTCACCAGGGTTCGATGTAGAACACTGTCTTGCGTCACTTGACTTTGATGTGATAGGTCCTTGACTTTGATGTGATAGGTCCTGAACTCAGCTGAAGTTTTTCTTCAGAAGATCTACTCCTTTTTAAAAATTTTTCTTTAATTGGTTTTCATATAATAATTGCTTTACATTATGTTTCCATCATATACATTGTGGGGTTTTTTTTCCCTCTTGTGTACTGTCCAATCAGATCAGATTGGCACAGGAGGAGATTTCCCCTCCTTCTCCAACGAAGCATCTGGTAAATTTGAACCAAGCGCCTTCAGGATTGCAGCACGGCTTCTTGCCACTAGGCCACTAGAACTCTTTGCATTGTATTTTATACAATCTTTCATTTACATTGTTTTTTTATGCAGTCACCCGTACACATTCCATTTTACATTTTTTTAAATTGATTTGCTTACAAAGTTATATACATTGTGTTTCACCCTAGTCTTAATTCACATTGTGTTTCATACAATCATTCTCATGCATTATGTTTTCTAAAACGGTGACCTAATTATTTTTTAAAAAATAATGTGATTACATGTATTTGAAAATAGGCTGTATATTAGCATTTTAAATGAACGAGTCATTTATCTTACTGTAAATTGTTAAAATATTAAAAGAAAGGTGAAAGATTAGAAAATGTCAGTAATATTAAGATCAGAGTTTAAATCCCTCCAACTTGAGCCTTTTTCTTGAATTAACCAGGATTAAAAGAACTCAAGGTAGAATATCTTTCTTGTGGTTTAACGTTATTTAATGCCATCTGATCTCTCTTCAAACACCAGTCTATTGATAGCTCACTTTCTGAAACCTTGTTCCAAGCTGGCCCTAAGGAATTGGCTCTAATGGACCACAGAACTAGATAAAGATGAAGAACTGGATGCACGCATCTGGAAATAGCAAACCAGTGCATCCCATCACATTTTTCTTGACTGTATACAAATGCAGACCTAATTAAAGGTTTCCATTGCTTAAAGTTCTCTGTTTCCTCTCTAGTACCTTAAGTGGAATCTCCTTGGTATAGCTTCTTCAACGAAGGCAAAATCTTTTTGGATGTATTTCCTTGTTTTACCTGACAAACTATGCATGTTATGTTTTCAGAATGAAGCTCGAAAATTAAATCACCAAGAAGTTGTGGAAGAAGATAAAAGACTTAAGTTACCTGCAAATTGGGAAGCCAAAAAAGCCCGTTTGGAATGGGAATTGCGGGAAGAAGAAAAGAAAAAGGTTAAGAACTGTCCTGCTGTCTTCATAAGTCATTTCTTCAGTCTGTGTATTGTACTGAGAGTGTGTAATGTAATGATTGAGTATCCTGACCCTGGGCCCAGAACACTTGACGTCACAACTTGACTCTGCTCTTCGTCAGCTGTACTCTCTGAGCGAGTTCTGGGCTCTTTGCATGTCTGCTTGCTCTCCTATGTGACCTGGTTATGAATGAAATGAGTTAATGTGTATAAATCAATTAAAGTGGGTCTGACACCCAGGAAGTATTTTTGGTATTTTACCCAGTAAGTAAAATGAGTGTGTTTATTTGTTATATACCAAAGCATATTCTCAAACTTCCTTTGAATAATAATCATGAATTCTAAGTTTTGCTCGATATCTTTGTTGAATTGGATTTGCTTTACAGGAGATCCAGTAATCGCTTGTTTCCTCATTGCAGATGTCATAGCTATTGGGATGCCTTCTGTTTATTTTTAGGAATGTGCAGCCAGAGGAGAAGACTATGAGAAAGTGAAATTGTTAGAGATCAGTGCAGAAGATGCAGAGAGATGGGAGAGGAAGAAGAAGAGGAAAAACCCCGATCTTGGGTTTTCAGGTAAAATTGGCCTTGATGTCCTTCAAGGACTATTCTGCATGAGGGCTAAGTCAAGCTAAGGAACGTACAAATATGTCTCTTATGTAAAATTTTGTATTCTTTGTGATAAAATTAGTCAAAGCTCTTATCAGTATCTTTAAGATAGAAACTATGGTTCATTAGTTTCTTTTGCCTGTATTACATAGTTGTTTGATAGTCTTCTGAATAATACAGACTTCTCATTGCTGTCGAGTCAGTTCTGACTTACAGCGACTGAGAGGTCCATCTGGTTTCCAAGGCTGTGAATCGCAATGGAAAGAAACTGCCCAGCTTTCCAGAGCTCTGTGGGTAATAAAGAAATGTGTGTTTTCTGACTTTTCTTTTTAGATTATGCTGCTGCCCAGTTACGTCAGTATCATCGGTTGACCAAACAGATCAAACCTGACATGGAATCATATGAGAGAATGAGAGAAAAACAGTAAGTTGGCAGGGTTAAGTCAAGTCCCTTTTTCATCCTGAGATCGTATATATGTATATATGTGTATATCTGTATACGACACACACACACTTTTGTGCTAAGATGTGAGTTACCACCTGCTGTCTTAAGAAGGATCCCTGGTATTCACAGCCCTCTTTATTGTTCACTTGTCAGCAGGTAAGCCAACTGTTGGATTGTCTTTCTAGCCAAGCATTCTAAGAATACCCAGACTATGATAGTTGCTTACTCTTTTTGGAGGCCAGATGCTTTAGTGAGGGATGAGTGAACTGGTGAAGGGCCCGCTAGTAAACATTGTCAGCTTTGTGGCTCATGTGGTCTCTGTTGCACTGTGTGTCAGTTTCACTGCTGTGATATGAAAGTCCCCGCTGAGACCACAGAAACCAATGGCTGTATTCCACTAAACTATTTTCAAAAACAAATGGCAGGCTTTAGCTTGCCAGCTTCTGCTTTAGTGGGGAGAGAAATAACCTAAGTTTAGGAGCTCTGATCCCAGCTCTCTGATGTTTGATATGTTCTCAAATTCTAGGCCTCAGCTCTTATATTTGTAAAATGAAGGTACTGGAGTGTATGATTTCTGAAGCTCCTTCCAATTCAGTGCTTACTTTAACAAAAAAAAGTAATATATGTATATTGTTGTTGATTGCCTTTGAGTCAAGCACAACTCATAGCAACCCTGTGAACAAAAGGCCTGAAGCCCCTCTACAACATTTATCAAAGTTTTTATACACACACACACACACACACACACACACACACACACACACACACACAACACACTCTTACATATATATATGTTTTTAATTTTTATTTTACTTTGGTGTACATACAAAATTTGTATATGTTGTATTTCATACTATCCTTCATTCCACATTATGTTTCATATAATCATTCCCATGATTGTGATTTATAAAAATAACCACCATTGAACTATGCCCACCATTACCCTGTCTATTTAGATCCTTGCAGAATCTTTACCATTTCTTTGACTCACTCCCTCCATCCTCACCCCTCTGCTCCCATCCCTGCCCCCCTTGAAGCCCCATACACATTTTATCAGTTATCCTTGTAGTTTTACACTAATGGTCTTATGCCGTATATGTCTTTATAAGTCTGAGTTCGTTTACTTAGCATAATGCTCCCCAAGTATGTCGTAATTTTCAAAATTGTTGCTCCTGAGTGCTACATAATATTTCTTTGTGTGAATGTACCATAACTCCTCAATCTGTTCCATTGTGGTTGGAAATTTGGGCTGTTTCCATGTTCTTGTGATGGTGAATAATGCTGCTATGAACATTGGAGTACAAATATATGTGTGTATTTTGTCTTTCATCATGAATGCTAATTGAAATTTACAGTGTTGCTTTAAGTCCCTTTTGCTGTCTTTTCAGTGGAGAAGAGTTTTTCCCAACATCCAACAGTCTCATTCATGGAACACATGTGCCTTCCACAGAGGAAATTGATAGAATGGTTGTAGATCTGGAAAAACAGTGAGTACTCAATAGAGCATCTTGATACGAGGCCAGAACAGATCTCATGTGCTGAGTTGAATTTGACAGACACTGATTTCATTGTATATTGCTATAAGATAAAAACCTATAACAAAGCACAATTCCATTATAGCAGTAGTTTTATTTATGTATTTTTAAAAAATTCAGAGTGGTTTTCCCCGTGTGCTGATTATAACTAAATACTTAAATAGGATATTCTAAGTTAAGAAAAACTTGGAACTCAGGTATAAATTGAGTTCTTATGACTTGGAAGAATAGTGATTAAATATAAAAGGTGAAGAATAGTGATTAAATAGTAAAATAGTGATTAAATTGTAATTGAAGGGGGTAGGTCTAATGAAGGAATTATTTTTTTTTTAAATTTTTATTTTCTTATTTTTTTGCGTGTACTGTCAAATCGGATCTGACTGGTACAGGAGGAGATTGTTCCTCCTTCTGCAGCAGAGCATCTGGTGGATTCATACCGCACCTCTCTGGGATTGCAGTGCAGCTTCTTGCCACTAGGCCACCAGAGCTCCATTAAGAAAAAAATTCTTGCGGTTCAAATCCACCAGATGCTCTGTTGGAGAAGGAGGGGGCAATCTCCTCCTGTACCAGTCAGATCTGATTTGACGGTACACGTGAAAAATAATACAATAAAAAAAAAAAAATTCTTTAAAGGCATTTACTGGGACAACCCTCCCGCTATTTGATTTGAAGATCCAAGAATGTACCAATTAGTAAATTAAATTCACTTATGTTTCTTGTTACTGATGTTAGTCGTTGTTAAGTGTCATTGAAACAGAATTAACTCATAACTAATCCTCTAGTGGGTTTTCAGAGGCTATAAATCACATGGGAGAAGATTGTCCATCTTTCTCCTGAGGAGCAGCTGGTGGATTAGAACTGCGTACCTATGGGTTGGCTGCACAGCTTCTTGCCACTAGGCTACCAAAGTAGAATGAATTTCTATTTTAGGAGTTAATACATAGTGTTAAGAGTAATGGTTAGCACATCCTCAGCACTCGTTTTCTTATTAGCTTTGAGTGTTCTTATTAATAAAGATAAATAAATAGCAGTAGTTATTTTAATAAAGGAAATCTCTGAGGGGTGCCGATAGCTAATGTGCTTGGCTGCTAGGTTTAAGGCTGGAGGTTTGGGTCACTTAGTCGTACCATGGAAGAAAGGCCCAGTTTTCTGTTTGCAGGAAATCTGCCTTGAAGACCCTGTGGAGCATAGTTCCACTCCGCCACATGGGCCTCTAGTGAGTCAGAATTGATTAGAAGGCAGCTGGTTATTGGAACATTCATCCTCTTTTAAGTAATATTTCTTTGGATAGTTCCGACAGATGTCATTGCACTATTAGAAGCATTTTTTTTAAAAAGTAAAAATTTCATTTTCTACTGGTTTACTTACATATTAGAAGCATTTTGAAGATGAATTTGTGTTTACTGCATTCTTAGTCAAGGTTGTATGTCTTTTGTTGGGCATTTCACCTTGATGAGAATGAGGCTTATTTTTCTTTCGAAGTGTCCTGATTCTAATATTAGCTGTTTGACCATGTTTTATTAAGATAAAAATAAAGGTAGTTTCCAATTTTGTAAATGATTTTCTTCCTTTTCCAGAATTGAAAAACGAGACAAATATAGCCGGAGACGTCCTTATAATGATGATGCCGATATTGACTACATTAATGAAAGGAATGCCAAGTTCAACAAGAAGGCAGAGAGATTCTACGGGAAATACACAGCTGAAATTAAACAAAACTTGGAAAGAGGAACAGCTGTCTAATCTCCTTTGAGAACTTTTTAAAGGTTATGATGGAGAGTGGAACTTTCTGCTCACAATTTGGAGCTTTCTTCAGAATTCTGTCAGGAAACCAGGAATCAATCTATGCCTCCCTATTCACCTTTTAGAAATAAATGTTTTTCTCTTAAACATATACTTCCATGTATAGCTCTACATTTTTGCTTGGATGTAAATTGTTTCTCGTAGTGTACTGTTTTGTAAAACTCTTCTTTGTATCAATTCTAATTACACTATTTTTGTATGTATTTTAAATGTGTGTGACTTTAATCTTTGTGTCATTGTGGGTTTAATATGATATCCATAAATGTAATAATTGTTGCCTCAAGTGTAGTGCTAATTTTGACAAAATCTGCAGTTGGCCAGGAGCCACCGGGTTTGTAACCCACCTGATGGACAGTGAGGGGGAAAGGTGATGGTACCCCGGGGGCTGGTCCAACTTCTGCCCATGGCTGCTTGTGGCTGAGCTTGCAGGGTCGCAGAACTGTCCTCCCATGATACTGCCTCATATGGTTTCTCTTTAAAAACCAATTATCCCTTTAGCATTGCAGTCTACTAAACACTTCGTCATTTGAAATATTCATTTGGTCATTTGCACGTGCATATAAAGATTGAAAAACCAAAACTGCAGTACCATTATCACAGCTTTCATGGGATGCTGCCGAGTTTATCCTTACTCCCCACAGTTAGCAACACCATAAGACAGAACTGCCTCAGAGCATCTTCTGGACTGTAAACTTTATGAAAGCAGATTGCCAGGTCTTTCTCCCACAGATCCCCTGGAAGGCTTCAAATTAGCAATTTTCAGTTAGCTGAGCTTTTAACCCTTGTGTCACAAGGGTTCCAGTGACTGAGGAGTAGGTATGTTGGGAAAGAAGCCCACTGGCTGTGAATCAAACTGGAGTCTGCTGCACGGAAGGTGAGGATTGTACCACTGAATTACCAGGACCTCACTTGGGGGCTAAGTAACTGGGGACGGATATGGGAGGAAACAGTCCAGTTAAAACAGCAATAGGCCAAAAATGATAAACATTTGTTTAGGCATGGATTTAGTGAGAATGCCTTGGTAGGACTTGGGCAACAAAAAGGGTAAAATCTAATTGAGTCAATGGACAGCTACAGCTTCCAATGAGATGGAGTGATAGGGACCAGATTGCCCATCCTCCTGGACGTCATAATAACTAAAGACGTGCTGGGAAAGTTAGAACGTCAGGGAGAGAGAGGAGAGACCTTGAAGGAGATGGATTGACACATTAATAATGGGCCTAATTAGGCACAGGGGAGATTGTGAGGAAGGCAAGGTTCCGATGCGTTGTTCAAAGGATTGTAATGAGGCGTTGATTCAGTGGCACCTAATGGCAACAGAAGGATCGCATATGTGAAGAACATTGTCAAGATACTGGACATCAGGCAAGGAAGAAAAGTGATTCCTGAAACAGGAGAACACAAGATGATCCTTATCCCCATGAGCTTGATATCATGATAAAGTTCCCAGTGTGCAACCCGGGGAGAGAAAAAAGCCCGACACAGGCTGGCAAAGCCTTTGGAGGAGATGGAGCTGACAAGTCCGGTGGCATGAGTTCACTGTATAGGGAGGGCAGAGCACAGAGAGGGCTCTGGAAATAAGCGGAGTTTCTTCAGCTCTGAAAGAATGTGCTTATTGCCACAGGTGTGAGAAGAAGAGACACTGTCACTCATACAGCCATTGAGTTGAAAGTCACTCGGAGGAGATTCTTTTTCCCTGGGAGTAGTGCAGCTTCTTATCCATGAGGCCACCAGAGGACAACCTGAGAGGATTAGCGAGAATACAGGCATACCTCAGAGACATTGCAATAAGACGAGTCACACGAATTTCCCTTTGTTTCCCAGTTATGTTTACACTATATTATAGTTTACCAAGTGTGTAGTAGCACCATGGAAAAGTTAAAGATTTTGTGACCCTGAGACAAGCAGTGAGTGCATGCTGTTGGAAGAATGGCACTGATAGGTTCAACATTACCCTTCAATTGGTAAAAGATGCAAAATCTGCATGGTGCAATATATGAAAGCACAATCCAGGTATTCCTGTAATACCAGCATTCACATGTGGACGGGCACAGCTTTCCTTCCTTCAGGATGGAAAACCTCAAATCTTTTGAAGCACTCGGTAGGCTACTGGGGAAACTCATTCCTCAGTAATGGGAAACCATAGCCCCAAACTAAACTCTGCGGGGGTCTGACTCATGAGTCTTCAAAGTAAGACCTGAAAGGACCAAACTGTTCCCACATAACTTAATTGCATCCTGGAACAAAGAGGAAGAATAATTACAAACCATAGAAACATTCAGTATCCAACAGTGTTGGATCCACAATGTCCAGCACTTACCCAATGAACAGAACCCATAATTGAGAAGAAAAATCAATCTAAAGGAATCAAGAACTAACCCATGCCAGAAAGAAAATGAAAGGAAAAGAATGAGACTGGAAATGTAATACAGTTGTTATAATAGCGGTACTGTATGCAATGAATATGTAAAGAGATAGGAAGATACGAAAAAGACAATGAACTTCTAGGTATGGAAATGACGATGTCTACAATGAAAAATACTCTGGATGGGATTAACTGTTGTAAAATGATGTGGTGGGAGATCTGACCACCTCTAACTTTTTTAGAGGGAGGATCTACATCTGTGCTATCTATCAGTCCATGGCTATGATGCAGTAACCAGACACAACTCCACCCTCCCAACTTTTTACCAGTGTTAACACTTACATTCTTCCTGCAGCACTACCTCTTTCTGGGTAATTAATTGCAATGGCCACACAGAACTAACAGACAAAACTCACTATTGTAGGGTTTATTAGAGAAGTGATCCCACAGCTTCTACCTGGCCCTTGGCCTTTTGGCTCTGTGGCCCTTTCAATGTCTACTCTGTTTGAACACATGTTACAAAGCTCCTCGGCTCTGCTGATATGTGCTCAGAGGCACTCCACTCCACCAGTAAGCCTTGGTTTAAAGGTGTTTGGTTCACTGTCAGCACGTCTCTCGCCTGTAGACGCTCAGCGTCCTCACTCCGTGGCCTGGGAAGCTAGTGTCGTGGGTATGCTGCTGGCTTTTGTTCTCCAGTTTTATTTTTGCTGCTATTTCTCTCCATCTTTCATCTCCTCAAACTCTCTCCCTTCTGGTAATAGAGCTTTCTGTGTCTCTGGTTCTTGGATGTAGGAGACTCTCAGTAGAGGGTTTCCAGGTCCAAATGATGTACTCCACTCTCTGCTCTTTTTCTTGATGGTAATGAGATCCTCGCTCACTCCATGCCCCCTTTCCCCTCTGGGATGTCCCATTTTAAATTAGCAGGAGGGCAAGACAGATCCCTTGGTAGTGTTCCATACACTTTGTTTGTATGGGCCCACTCCCTTAACAATGTCTTATATTTTGTTTGCATTATTAGCAAGCAATCTAATTCCCTTGAAGGGGACAATACAACTCTTTTGCATAGTTCTACTCAGTGATTTTGTGGGAGTTACAAAGAATGTGACTGAATAATCTCAAACCCCACTTCCATTGAGCCAATTCTGATCTTCCTAAACCTGTGTGAGAGGAGGCTGTTCATCTTTCCAACCTACGGCAGCTCGTAGATTTGAACCACTGACTTTTGGTTATCAACGCAACACGTAACAATGTTATCAGAACTCCTAATAATTATAATAGTAATGTTTTTTTTTCTATAATTATATTTTATTAATTTTCATAAACATTTATAGAGATTTTGGGTTTCCATTCATTCATTGTTGCACTATTCTCTCTACCCTCCTCCCAGTTTGTTCTTGTCCAAATGCCACAGTGCTTGTCAAAGCCAGTTCTGATTAATCTTCTTTGTCAGTGTGTCCTTTGCCATTCCCTATCACTCCTCCCTGAGAGAGACTTCACCCTGAGTCATAAGGAAAAGGGGATGGCATATTCTCTTAGCTACTTCCTGCTGAAAAGGGATGCTGTGGGTTTCAGGGTGAAGATCTTCTCTCACTACTCTAAAGGGCCCCTTTGGCAGTAGGAAACACATAGACTATTATGGAGATTGATTTTGGAATTTAGATGCACTCTTATTGATTGTGCTTGGCCGTACATGTTCATATCCTTGAAGATGTATCATGGGGGTGTTGCAACCTAGAAGACACAAATTTGACTAACAAGTTATAAGTACATGAGTCCAAAAATTATGGAAAAGTAAAAGAAAAGATTCTTTCATTGTTTTACAAACCCTCCCCCAGGTCCCCTCCACCATGTAGCCCTCGCACTAGACTCCTGTGATGACAGAAATACCTAGTTATATATCTCTTTTAAACAGTTTTCTCCCTCCTCTGTTTCAGTGCAGTATACATTATTGAACCCATCTTATTCAGTCTCTCCCCAACCCCAAGGACAGTCCCATTCTACAACAGTGGCATCATGTAATTATAATAGTAATGTTGTTGTGATGTGTACCGTCGAGTCAGAACTGACCTGTAGCTGACCCTCCTGAAAGTTTTCAAAGTCAATTAGTTGCACGGGAGGAGACTGTCCATCTTTCTTCCACAGAGGAGCTGGTAGATTTGAAATCATAGCTCCATGCAAAATGCAGAAGCTTAAGGACCAATCTAGCTTCCATCTAGAATAGAGTCAGTGCTAATGGAAAAATTGTCCTTTAAAGAATATTCATATTTTGGATGAATAGTTTTGTCTTCTCAGATGGAGCTGTCTGTCAGGCTTCTCTATGGGCATCTGCAGGCTGTTCGGAGCTCTGTGCTCAGAAGGCAGGATCCTAGGAGGCTGGGAGCTGATGGTAATGTCTCACCTGGATGGCATCTGTGTGTGTGTGTGTGTGTGTGTGTGTGTATTGGGAGGGAGTAGATGTCTGTTTCTTCAGCTGGAAATGGCCTGTTGGAAAAGAATGCAAAAATACTCATCAATCTCAGAAATACACTCTGGAATATATAGAAGATGTTATATATTCTCCCCGCTGCTCAGATGC